TAGTATTACTGTCGAAAGAAAGACAATTGACATTTAGCTAAATATTCCTAATCATTTTTCATTGTCTCAATGTATCACATTGGCGCATAAGTTCTGAGAGTTTGGATCAGTAGAATTATATTGCCAATATAAAACTACATTTTAAGGCAAGTAATTGTATATTCTGATAGCGCTCAGAATTCTCTATCATCCTGTCTATTTAAACTTTGGCTTGCATTTATTTGCTGAAAAAATATTTTGAATACAGGGAAGACACCCTCACCTGCATTGACAATGTTCGACACATTTCTCAGCAAATAAGTTCAAGTCAAGACCTAAATATACAGAGCGATAGAGCATTTCAAGAGCTCTCACAATATATACTTACTTTTCTAGAAAAAACGGATTACTGTATAGATAAAAATTTTAAAAACGCATGAGAAAGGAACAAAAAATGAAGTTCGTGGGAATCTGAGGGTGAGGGTGTCTTCACTGTATTCAAAATATTTTTTCAGCAAATAAATGCAATTCAAGGCTTAAATAGACAGGATGATAGAGAATTCTGAGCGCTATCAGAATATATAATTACTTGCCTTAAAATGTAGTTTTATATTGGCAATATAATTCTACTGATCCAAACTCTTAGAACTTATGCGCCAATGTGATAAATGACTTTTTCATCTTTGAGAAATGTCGATCTCGACTTGAAACATAGTCCAATAACATCAGTGATGAGTGCTCATTCTCATAGGATCTTTACCTATTGTTGTTGACTTCACTCTCATTAGACCGATCTTATAGATATCAAGGATTTTAAAAACCGCTAATTGCATTATTCTTCTCATTCAAGAACATGAAAGTCTTTATTCAACGATGATTAAGTGTGAGCTTGAGTATAGAAGTGATTATTTTGACACAAAGAGAGAATAACTTGCAGAGTCATTTATTATTGATTTTCTTGTTTGCGAATCTTGTCAATTTTTGCCTTGACATACGGAAAACAATAATCATAGTACTTTTGTTGCCAATCCGGCTGTTTATAACGTTTAAATACGTCACGTCCTGCGCATGACGATGCTCCACAGTGACACACGTCGAAAGGCATCGATGGCATATCGTCTGTAATACCAATACCGTAGTCGACAGTGAGCACAGAGCCTGGTTCGATATCTTTCAGAGCAATAACATGATCGGTATATGTTGAAGTACAGTTTGCATCGCAAGAATGATTCAGGAGCGCAGTCAAATCCATCGTATCACGTGTTAGATAATTACGAGGTACGAAGATATTCTTATCATCATATTGCAGTGAATATCTCGTCAGATAGTTCTTTATATCAGAATTTTGCTGTTCATTGACCAGTTGATGGAATTCTTCAAGTGTATAACTGCAACGTTTATCGTTGAATGGATAAAACATTGAGGTAGCCGGATCATTTTCTAGAATGATGTCACCTTTTTTGATCTTCTCATCTGCAACAATCCCACGTTGTCCAGGTCCATAGATCTCACTTAGATCGGCTACATGAACTTTCTTCAGCATAATGCCCGAATATTTTTGTGAGTCGACAGTGCTTGTCGTTTGCGCGCATGAAGTAGAGTGATCAGATGACATTATTCGAATTAAATGCCTCGTGAATGAAACCTATCGCTCTCTGCGCACAATCGCACGTTTCTTTTTATTTGCTTTGGTATTAGTGTCGTTATCACGCCATATTCAACATTATTCGATAAAACATTTTTACCTCGGCTTTTTTCACTTCTGTCCGACTCATGATCAACTACCGCCTTTTTTTTTTATCTACGCACGCACTTTGCCAATGAAAACAACAACATCATTTTCATTTACGTATATAATATTGCTTTATTTAAATAATGAAATTTGAGACATATCCTCACGCCTCTTTGTTATGGACGAAGTTCGTTCCTATGACAGAAAAAGAAAAACCATATATATATTACACTATGACGAAACAATACACATATGAATAGGAAAAGTTAAGCCATAAAAAAAAGATATGACAAAGTACATATTGAATTGTAAAATCACATACATATTTATTTTTTATCCATAAGGAGTGAAAGAAAGAGAAAGGAGGAAAAATAGAATACAACAGAATAAATTCAGGATGTGGATATCGCTGGTTGGATGTTGGTCTTCTCTTCACCTAGAACCACATCGACACCGACATCCTAGAAACATTAATATCGTCCTTTCTCTCTCTTTTTCTCAGTCCATTGCAGACTGCCGCTCCAAAATTGGACTACTACGATAGGAAATACTTTGAATCGAAGCCGATGGAAATATATCTCATCATATATTATTTGGCTTAAAATTTTTCTCTACCAATACATAACGTCATATGTTCAATCAACATTGTCAATATTTCAAGATCAACTACTTGAATCTCTTAGTAAAGATGAAGATGACAGCTTCTATGATTTTTATTTGATACGAGCACTGGAATTTCTAATTGCCAGCGATCGAGAAAAAAACGCTTTCATACTTGGAAACGTTTTTAGATCCATCTTTCAGTGAAATGTACTCGTTCACCTATGATAAAACTCAAGAATATCTACACCATATCTGTCCTGCATTGTTAAATCAATTTAAAAATTTTATACAATCATGTGTAATGACTTCAGATGAACTGATCACTTGCTTTGGAACGGTTGCCTAAATATAAAAGTGCGTTTCAAAACATCCCCTTCAAAACTTTTTATACTCAATATATAATCTGCTTCAGATTCGGCCAAGAAGTAGAAGACTAAGTTCAAATTTTGAAGCTAAAAACTCTTTTTTGCATTATATCTCTTAACTCACATTCTTCTTTAAATTTTACTTTGAAATTCTATCAAATCTTGTTTTGATTTTTCACTGCTCTCTATTACTATTTGCCATTTGAGACTGAGTAGATTTAGGTCGTCCGTTTTTTTCCTTCTCACCCAGCCTCAAAATAAAAAGATCTTCTTGTTTGGAATGGACCGAAGAACGACATCTAAGACAATTTTATTCATCTGCTTCGAATTTAATCTAATAATAAATTTCATTTATGTGTGCTGCAAAAAATAATTATAAGATATCGTCAAATTGTTATTTTAGATACTTTCATCATAGAATAAATAGATTGAATAGTGTAAGGTAAACGTCACTCGATATCAATTCTGTTCTATAGATTCAATACAATAGCCAAATGAATCTTTTTCTTTGTACTCCATTCGATATTCTTTTGATTGAAAAATACTTACAACTTCTTGGTTTGTTTGAAGTACGAAATTTTTTTCCGGTTCTATCTAATGTTAAAATAGACTGGATTCACTAACGAATTTATTGAAGCAAAAAAAAGATATCATTCTGTTTAAAAAGATTTGTTAAAAGTATCAGAAGTTGAAAAAATGCAAATATTATTTTCTGTCTATTTATTAGCCAACACAAAAGTATTTATCTATTTTCGACAAAAAAGATAGAACGGATCTTTACAATTTCTTAAATAGAATGTGAGTCAGATTATATATTTTATAAGTTAAGACTTATTTAAATACACAGTTCAAAGATTAGTTCACTCTTACAATGCCTAATCAAAACATAATGGCAAAAGGACAACCTACGAATCTATTTGTGGTGATGATTTATCATTTTTTTTAGCTCCGTAGCATTTAATTCAAAAGTGAAAAATGTTCATTCAGTTATACTAGCTACGTTTCCAAACAGTTACTTGAAGTTTGATTTGCTTTTCTGTATACTTTAATGAACTGATTATTTTGTAATGAAACGTATCAATCTCTGCATAAAATAACCCGACTAGTGGAAAAATAATCATGATCAACATAAAGAAAAAAAACAAGGTTGATGAACATATTACATTGATAATCTATCTGAATTTGCTTTTTAGATAAAAAGGAGGGAAATTTTGAGAAACTGAATATTAACGAAATTTTCAGTGTCAAATACAAACTAAGTAAGTGAACGATCTGAGTCTCAAGTGCATGAGTCATTTATTGATACTTCGATTGTAAGAGACGATACTTTGAATGCTTGTTGTAGCATATGTTTTTCTATTGTTTTTGTTCGTTTTTCATCATGAAAAAAGGATCAATATTGATGCATCTTATATACATAGGAATGCCACTTTACTTGGCTAGGGCATCACTAGAGGAAAGAAAGAGAAAAAATATTTTTATCAGCTTATTACGAAGAAAGGTGATAACATTTGTAATGCTATCCTATCAATGTTCACATATAAGATAAATAGTAAGTTGTCAAAAGTTGAAACTTGAATTCAACTAAGATTTCAAGTTTTACGCTACTGGATTAGACATATGACAGTTCTATATTAACTAACTGAATTGGTTTTGATCATGCATCTTCATTCAAACCAACAGAAGCTGCTGATTAAATACTTTTTTATCTGAATTAATCCCACTGAATATTTCATTTTATTGTATCTCATTAGATTTGTGACTATTTCATTTGATGTCATGTAGTTGAACTGCACAAAGGTTCTGGAAATGGAACTGTAATCATCACACGTCTATATTTGATGACAATTAATGCTAAACATAAGGTAAATCTCTTAATCGACTAGATTGGTTATTTTCGATTATTGATAGTAATATACTGTTGTATGTTCTTAGTTCTTCAATGCTTCTCTCTGTTCACAAATCGAATAAATTCTTCTTATATACTTTATTATATATACCGAACATGAGTTCAATAAGGAAATGGAAAAGTAGAGCAAGATAAAAAAATGTAATACAAACTATACTTGAAAAGATAAAAGAATAAAGTTAGCAACATCCTAGTCAGCAATCATAGCGTTGAACTCTTAATCAGATGAAAAACAAACTATCAATTGTAGATATTTTCCCTCAAAGATAAGAGAAAAATCTAGCCTATATTCATCTGTGATATCTGTTACAACGTTTGGTCGAACAAAATGAGATGCTTATCAGACGGTCTCGGATAATTGTGAAGGAAATGGTAGCACATAGAAATGCAATTATTTTAAACAGAAAAGGTAAGTATTTATATATCAAGATATCTTTAAATAAATAAATGTACATTGATAATTATATAAGAATGTTTTCGACATGCTAGTTAAAGAATTGTTTCAACTATACAATATTTTTCTTAATAGTAGATATCTATGTTTTTTTATAGACATACTTGTCACTATTTGAGTAATTAAATTGATCTTATAGAGAAATTATTATTTATAAGTGTTATTATTCAAATTATCATCTAAGAAATATTTAAATATTTTGAAAACCAATTCAAGGACTTTAAATATTAATTTGATAATCATGTTAAAGTATAGTCTAAAGATTTAGCGATTTATTCATTATCACTTTAATTGAACATAATTTTAGATCAAAAATTATTTCTATTGAATATCACAGCATATCAAGTAAATTTATTATGGACTAATTGAAATGTCATGTTTGATGTTTTGACAATTCATCTTTCTTATACACTTTACACTTGAGTATAAAAGCAACACAACATTTTGATAGAATTATCCAAGTTCTCATCAATTCACGTAAATAAATACTGAAGTCAATTTGAAAAAAAAATGATTAAATTTATTGAAACTATCGAGATAGTTCAAGTAGAATTAAAAAACGAAACAACAACTTTGACAATATATCGAACTATTATATATATATATTTGTTCTCTATTACATATGTTACTCATCATTCAATCCCTCCAAAAACACAGTAATTGAGCTACTTCATCATATGCTTACCTACAATATTAGTACATATTATTTTTCGCTGATCCAATGTCAAATCATTATAAAAACATGAACTCTTAACGTTGCTTATGTTTTCCGATCATTTGATAAGTCAGAAAGTAATTGTACATATTTTCAATCCAAATCGGCCACTATCATTAGTTCTACCTTTGCTAAAATACTTGTTCTTAGTGTGGAATCATATTCCTTTCGAGATTTTTAATATTTGTTTCAATCTGAATCGATGTGTAGTCGATTCAACACTCTTTTTCCCTCAATCTTCTGATAAATTGACAACATTTAATTGTTTGAAATTGTCAAATATCACATTTCAAAGTCACAAGGTTGAATGAGATAATGATGGATTATTAATTAATAAGAACCGAGTTAAATTAATGAACGATCGACATGAAATTTTTACAAATGAGTAGGTAATAATTTTTAATAGAAAGCAGTACTCACTTCATGTTTTGTTTAGTTGTAGTTTTCTGGTGGCAATAAGGATATATTTCGATTAGTATATTTTGTTTCATAGATGTTAAATATTATATGATTGGGACACTATGCTTTGTAAGTGTAGTTTATTTTTATTGAGTTCATTGATGTGTATTTTTGCTGGAGCTGGTCATTTCGATGATTCTTACTTATGTAGTTACTTGATGTGCAACACGGATAGTCTTGGATGACATATCTCTAATGTTGGAACCAATCATAAAATGACAGAATATCGATGAATGAAACAAACAATTTGGTGATTGATTTAATTAATTTTCTTTTCTACTATGAATCATAAATTTTTGGTGACCAATAGAGAAAGTTTCTTGAAGCTTGAGAGAAATAGTCGATAAAGTTTTTAGGATTTTGTCTGTTTTCTTTGTTTTTTTTCTGTGTGGATCAATATTATACAGAATATTTTAAAACATCATCTTCTACATTTAAAAGATTCATTTATTTCGTAATTTTCTCGTATCAAATAGAAAAAAGTTAGTAGCAGAAATGATTGTTTATTTAAATAATGAATTAATTGAAAATTTGTCTTTAATCTAAACTATATTGATTTCTTGTAAGATCCTGATATATTAATTATTTTTCGCTGTTACAGCAAACTTCTTAGTTTCTTGACGAGATAGCATCAATCGACAAAAATGTAAACCAATCGTTCAAATTGGTTTTGAGAAAGTTCAGCACTCAGAAAAGTTTCATTCATTAAACAATAGCAAAAACAGTCAGAAGAGCCAAAATAATAAGACTAAGAAAACATCCTTCTGAAAATTCAGAAAGAACTTATTAAAAAATTCAATGAAGCGGTTTCAAATGCATTGTGGCCCCACCTACACTTAGTAGCAATACTTCAGATTCAAAGACCGAGATACTTGAATAATTCTTGAGTTAATAACCACTCGTGGGGATCAACCATTTAAAAATAGTCTCGTTTCAAAAGTGATTTAACAGTTGGACATCCTTCCTCGTCGGTATCTAATGTTGAATCTCAAAGTAATATTGTCAGAAGCTGGTAAGCAAACCAAAGCTGATAACGTTGCACATTTTGAAAGAGATAAGTTTTTAAAGAAAAACAACACTGTCAAGCTTTTGGATTTTTTTCGATCTGACAATAATGCCCGTTAATGCTAACATCTAGCTTTTCGTGTTTAGAAACTATGAAGCGATATTTCGCTCAAGCTTTCAGTATTACTTTTTTGTGTCTATTGACGTATACAATGAATTCGATCGGAACTATCACACAAGTTAAACGATGCCAGTCGACGCTCTTTTCCTACCAGTAAATCAAAACCTTGCATATTCCACGAACGTAGGCTTCTTCAAATAAAAACTTGTCTGAACTCATTCCAGAAAAGTTTTATAGAACTTTATTACATTCAAAAATATTCATACTCGAAAATCTAGATTAAATGTTGAGAAGATCAAACTGTCTATTTTTTGTTTGGATGAGAATATTTAGAACGATGATTAGGATCTGTATCATAACATTTGTCACCAAATTTACATTGTATTTTATCATAATTAGAACTTTCATGATCTCGACTTCGTTGATCGCCTGGATGTGAATACTTTGAACAATGTTGAGGATCATTTTTCTCTCGACAATCGCGTCCATAGCGACAAGCTATTCGTTCGCGATTTGATCTAGCCGAAGATGAAGACTTATGTTCATCTGGATGTGAATATTTCGAACAATGTTGAGGATCTTTTTTATCACGGCAGTCGCGGCCATGGCGACAAGATATTCGTTCATGACTTGAACTAGCCGATGGTTTAGATCCATGTTCACGAGGATGTGAATATTTTGAATAATGATGGGAGTCATTTTGATCACGACAATTTGATCCATATCGACACACAGTTCGTTGATCATTTCTTCCTTCATGAGGGGATTTTTTTTCTTCATATTGAGTATGGGGTTTCGATGACGATTTATGGGGTGTATCATCTATGTAGAAAGATTGAAACAAAAAATTGGCATTCATTGTGCAATAAGAAAACAATCACTTACGTATTTTATCGCGCGCTATTTCTACTGGTTGACCATGTGAATATTTTGTCTGATGATCCGATGTTTTATTATGACAATTCAATCCATCAGGGCATGGAATAAGAAAGTCAGGATAGCCTGGATGTCGATACTTTGCTCGATGAACGGGATCATCAAGTTTTTGGCACGAACTCTTCAATGAGCATTGTTCTACTTTGCGGGGTTCATGTGTTAGATTGGGCTCTTTGTCTTTATTAGAACAAAGTTCAGAATATGGACAAGGATGAGAATATTCTCTCATATGTTTCGATGATTTTTGTAATAGACAATTAATCGAATGGGGACATGGTTCAAGTTTTTTATCATCATAACCAAATAAGCCAAGAACAGCATCTTTAGCTTTATTCAGAAAAGATGGAGATTTGTCTTCGGGCGATTGTGGAGTTTTTAGAGAATGTAAATGATCACGACTATGAGATCTTTTCCTACGAGAAAAAGCATCATCGCCTCGTTTAAAATTTTTATCAAACGATGGATATAAATCGGGAATTTGTTCAAAACTAATAATTAAGTTTCGAATAGGTACTTTGTGTGAACCAGCACTTACATGAACGTATTCTAATTTGCCCAAGTCAATGATTGCTTTCGAAAATTTATACGTTATTGTTTCATAACAATAAATACTATTCGGTCCAGCATGTGACAGTGTTACTTGACCTGTTTTCTTCTCAATTTTAAGACAATACGTTAAAAAATTTTCAATATTGCATCCACGATGAAATGAACGTGAACTACTTGAGCATTGGCCATTAGCCTTAATAACAATATGCCGATATGGTTCATCAGCATTTAAGTATGAATACGATTCATTATAATTAGTTGTTGTCGTTGATGGTCTCTCAGCAATATAACAAACAAGACATTGAATACGTGGTTGACTTTTATCGGGATTAATTGGTTCATCTGAAAGTGTAATCATCATATCACCATACATTGCTTCCCAATAAATATACGTATCATCAGAATTCGAACTTTGTTTATGTGTTCGAAGATATTTGTTACGAGCTTCATTTATTGTTAATGGTAAAACAATATGATCTGTAAATTGACTTGGTTCTAGAGTAAGAACAAAGCCGCGAAAACGTCTTGTACGTTCCTTTCGTTTTTCAAATTTTTGTATTAGTGCACTAGTCACAAAATCTTGATAATCAGAACGACTCCTATCTGACGGATGTGGACCTCCACCACCAGTACTAGTAAGATCAATTTCATGTTTTGTAATATGAAGTGCATCACGAAAGATTTTTTTTGCTGATTGTTGAGCTGCTGAAGTCAATGAATTAAACAAATTTTTTGGTATGTATATTTCGTCGATATAATCAAGAGGAACCAATTGAGGTAAATGAGCCTCGAATACCTCATGTGAATCAACTTCCTTCCAACGATGTATAATGCCTTTTAAATCAACATCCATTGTTTTCTTCCGTAGTCCTGATACAGCCATTAGTTCTGCTGCCGCTGCATATTCATATCCTGGTATAGCACAATGTAATTTCGATTCATGAAAACATTTTATTCTTTCAACTTGTGTGCCCGGATCTTTGATCCATGGTCGATGCGAAAATGTACGCTTACTTGAAAATGAAGTAGCTGCTTGAGGAGAAAAATTGGCATCTGGATGAAGCATTACTTCACTTTTAAATACAAGAATTATATCCCCATAATAATGGCCAAGGTGTGGCCCGAGAATACCAAAAACATGCTTATCAGTACGTAATAATTTGTCAGGTTCGTATTTGATACCAGTTGGAGCATTATGAAGATTCCATGAGGCTTCAGCAATATCAATGGCGCATCGTTTAATTGTATCAACTTCTTCCGGCTTTATTAAAGTTTGAAGGATTCTTTCTTTTCTACGTATAATATCATTATAGTCATCAGATCCAGTTGACATTGATGAACCACCGGTACCTGCTTCGGCTGCTGCAACCGCACCGTATTTTTTACTGTATTCCAGAGAAACAACGGCTCGAATATATTCTTTAGCATGATCTTCTATTGCTGACATTTTATAGCGATCAAAAATTGCACGCACACGTTTATGTTCTTGGACAGTTTGAGCTGCAAAATATGATTTTTTTAAGTGTTCCATATGGTCACGAGACATGACATGACCATGAACAAGTATCGATTCAAAAATGACTTTTGAACATCGATGAATTGGTTGTAAGCCTTTAATCCATTTTTGAATTTCTGACGGAATCGATAATTGATGTTTTGAATTTAAACCTTTTGCATAGTCATTTATTTCTTGAACAATTTTTCTTTGATTTTCAACGAAATTACTCTTTTTGTTCTGTCCAAAACAGCCAATAACACCACTATAATCATGGTTTCCATGATGTCGATATTTGATGATATGTTCAGATTTTCGTCTATCTCGACATTCGTAGGCTTGGTAAGAGCATAAACGACGAATATCAGCTATACCTGGATGTGAGAATGAATTTAAATGATCTTCTTGATTTAGTCTTGTACATTTATCATCGAATGAACAGATATTACGAGCAATATGAATTGTGGTCTTCCAATGTGTATCAGATGTTTCTTGACATTGACGACCATATCGACATACATGTGAATATTTTAGACAATGATTTTGAACATCGATCGGTAATGTTTTGATATTTTTTGTTTCACATAAGCTATTATATTGTCGACAATGGAATGGAGTAAATGGACATGCTGGTTGAAATGGATGATTTTCTTCACTTGAGTGTTTTTCGTCATGAAATCTTACACAAAAATGACCGAAGCGACACATTGGTATACAATGACGAAATTTTAGACAGTGATCTTTTGATCCACGATTATAATCGACACATTGACGACGATATTTACATAGTGGTACATGCCGATAAGCTTTAAGATGTTCATTATCCATATTTTCACAACGACCACTATCACGACAAAATTCAGGATGCTCAAATTCATTTGAATGCATGAGATCGTTCTCAATTAATTCACATTCACCACCATACGAACATCTTTGGCGATGTCTGAACCAAAGCGTATGTTGGCTATCATTTTTCTGTTTACATGGTGTCGTATTATCTGCGTACGGACATAAAGGTGGATGTGAATATTCACGAGAATGCTGTTCATTTTTCAAGTCATTACACTTTGCTCCATAAATGCATGGATTTAAATAACAAATTCTAATATCACTTAATGTTATTTCTTTCATAGTTGTCTGATTTAAAATTCGCCAAGGCCCAATCATCATATCGACAAGCTTATGTCGCTTGGGTTCTGCATCTAAATTATCGAGCGAATTTTGAAAAGGACGAAAATTTCCGATAGGATTAAGATCTTGGCCTGTATTATGATCATCAATAATAGCAAAATAGATATATTTGAAATATCCAGCATATTGTTCAATAACTGATTTGAATATTGCTGCAATGTGCTTTGGCGGATTTCTAAACGCACCGCAACCAAGAGCAGATAGAACAAGACTATCATGTTTTTGATGATGTGCAATAGCAAATATATTTTCAATTTTTTTCCGTGTACCAATAGAATATTTTGAAGTGAGAAGATCATTCTGAATTTTTGGATCTCGATAGGCAGCCATTGCAATAGCACATACATCATACATAGGTATTTCCATGAAAGCATAGCCAGTATCTTCAGGTTGTCGAAAAACTGTCAATCCCGATGTATAGATTGCTCCGAACTCATCTATTGGATATAGTGCATCACATTCGGCTAAAGGTTCTAGTTCACAATTTGCATTACAATAGAAACGATCTGTTGGTTTTCCATTATCCAATTCAAGATCGAGACTTTGAAAATAATTCGAACGACGAAAAAGTGTCTCTTCTTGAGCTCCATCACCTCGTTTATAGCCACCACCTGGACTGTTTGCATTGGCCATATTGAGAAGTACTGGTCGACAGCCTTTGCTTACTAAATTCTTGTAAACAATCAAACAATCTTCATTGACTACTTTAACTGATGTTGATGCATGGGGAAATTCTGTTGCCTGTGACAATGAAGTTGTCTTACCACGTTGTAATTTTGACTTATGATCATAAAGAATAGTTTTTACTCGATCTGATTTTAATTTGATTTCTTTTTCACCAATACGATAAAAACCTCTTTTTACTACACCAATTGTATTTAACATAACTGTCATTCGTAATAGATGACGTTTAAGGTTGCATAATTTTTCATATTTATCTTGATCTTTTCCATCAATCTTACGATTATTCGATGTCCAACGACGAAATTGTTCTAAAAATGCATTTGAATTCCATTTAAATCGAAATATATGATGTTGAAGATTAGCAATAAATGGCATTATGTCAGGTTTATGATCACACATTTCTGTTTCGTACCAATTTTCGGCATTAATTTCACTATCTTCAGGATTACTTGAAAATGTATAAGCTTCAATACCTAATACATGATCACCAATACGTAAGGCACCTTGATCAATACATTTCTCATAAATATTCTTATCCGAAAGTTCGAGAATGACATGTTCATCACTGGGTAATGTTTTAACGACAGCATTAGCAAAGATTTTATGATCTTGGATGAGTGATGCCGATACACCTTTAGGCACGGATCGTATCAAGACACGACAAGCAAGACTATCTTTCTTCATAATAACTCGTCCATCTAATAGAATTGAACTATATAATGCCCATATTCGAGCTCTACCTGATGTTAGTACAACAGCATTGGCATCTTCTTTGTTATATTGAATATGTATTAATTCTTTCGACATATATTTATTAGAAATTTGACTATCAATAGCTAATTTCAATCGATCCAAATTAGTCGTTCGTGGTAAATCTTCAAAGAAAGCGCAGTCCGCTCGAAAATAAACAGTTGCAAAGCGATTATTGATTGAGAATTCCCTAATTGACATAGCTGTGAGTAGTTCATTTAATGAATGTGTCACTATTCGAAAGATATTCGGAAATTGAACAGATAATAATTCACATCGTGGTTGGGATTGCATCTTATACAAATGAACCCATCGTCGACATATCTCATCAACTGATGGAAGATCTTTCATATCCTTTCCATCGATGACAATGTAGGAGATAAGCTCAAGTTCATCTACAAATGATACCGTTGTATTGCTGGATAGTTCAACTATAATTTTTCCGATGATGTTAATCAAATTATTTTTATCTTCATCATTGTACAAATAGACAATGCCGATGCCTAATTCTGTATCACATTTAACATCGAGTACTTTTTGTTTATGTTTAAGTTCTAAACATTGACGAATAATATTTTCGAGTAATTGATTATTTTCGATGTTCACTGGCAAATCAGGTACATAAACAATGATAGGATCATCTTGATTCGATTTTCTTGACGATGATGAACCTGAAAAGCAATGTTTTTGACTGATTGAATTCATGTGTTTCTTTATGGAAGCTAATAGTGCTATTTCAAGTCACTATCTGTTAACAGTTTTTATAGAAAAATATTGTAAAGCTTTCCCTGTTACTGAGAAACAGATAGCTCGATTGATTCGAGTGGAACAGAAATATGGAATATTTTATCGTAAAGATATTTATGGAATACCATATAAACTAAAACAACCGAGATATATGTCCTGCAATGTTGAAAAAAGTACTCAAGCCGTTGCTTATTGACGTCTCAGTCGAATGTAGTCAGGTTAGTATTCTAGATGACAGTACGTGGAGCTCTATTAGTTGTAGAAACTGCGGTCCAATCGGTTGACGTATTAAAAGACAAGAGAGCGCTAGTCACTTGGGTTCACAACTACATAATAGTTAGATCTGATAATATGTAAGTGTAAGCCTTCTTTTTTCTATAGTGTTTTTGAAAAGACACTGACAATTAAAACTATATAACACTGCTTATGTACAAAACTTTTACAAGGTAGATACTTACTCGTAGGTGATTTCATTTGTTTCGCAGTTGTTCCTGTTGATTGATGACGACTGCCTTCATATGAAGATGAATATGATCCTTTTTTATCATCTGATGGAGAAGGTGAACGAGATGGACTTCGTTTTGAAGATCCTTTCGAAAAAACATCTTTATTTGATGTCTTTGTTTGACGTGCATCTTGTTCAGTATCTATTGAGGAGCCAAGTTTCAAATTAGAATAATTTGTTAAATCATTAGTATCACTTTTATTTTTCGATGAAGATGAATATGCTGCAACCGATTGTACTGATGATTTTTCTTCTCCTGAACCACCGCGAGGGTAGGCCAATTCTTGCTTATGTGAAGTAGTACTCGAAACATAATCTGATAGTGGTGATGAGGAATGCAATTTTAAATGAAGTCTATTATCGCTTTCCTCATGCTGGTAATTTCGAGTACTACTCGAGGATGTACCAGATGTGGGTTTCTTGGTTCCATGGTTATAGTCGTCTTCTGGAAGTTTTCTATCGCTCCTAGCTGCAGATACGTATCCCTTTGTTGACGATTGCCTCTGGATTGAATCTGAAAATTGTAAAGAAACTTTTGAAATCAACTGTTGCTGAAAAAGCATTGGACTGTCGCTATTGACTTCATTGATTGTCGTTTCACACTATCAGAAACATTTTTGAATAACGGTGGTCACAAAATAATTTAACTCTCAAGATACAAACAATGGAAATAAGAGGACATTCAATAATATTAAATCATCATAATTTGATACTTACGTTCAGATGTTTGCCTTTGTTTTGTGTTGTTTTCTGAAGATTGATATCGATTATCATCCGATGAACATGAATCGGAAGATTTTCGACGACTTCTGGATCCAACAATAGATGAATAAGGGTAAGATCTTTCATTGTCGGACAAGTCTTTTTCTGATGGCGATTGTTCGCGACTTGAACTACGTCGACGAGCTCGTGAAGAACTTCTTGAATCTGCTCGGCTATACATGCTCTCGTCTTCTGGAGAAGAACTGCGCCTATCAGATGGCGATGCCGACATACGTCTCTCTGAGTGACTTGGACGTATTTCAAGACGCGGATGCATTGGTTTATGAGTTTCGCACGCATCACATGCAGTGTCGCTATCTTTATTTGTGAAGCCACATTCACGACATTTCCAATCCTGTACTTCAGTCGATGATAAGGTGGTTATGGGATCCTGCTGATCTGATAGATCTAAAATTATAAGACAATTCCACTCGTAGAATGTAACAAAAAGTCATTATCTTTGTTCTAATGAGACATGTACCGATATGGGTATACAATGGTGATGATATGGAATGTTGAGTACCGGATAGTAGGTATCCGTATCTAGTATTTCGTTCTCATCAGCAAATCAATATTCAATGTTAGCGTTAATGTTGAATATCGAACTGTTTCCTCTTAAACCCTTTTGAATGCCATACAATTCGTTAGAAATGGATTCAAGACAACTAGGTATCCAGATGATGTCCACCTTTAAAAGTAAACAAAGCTTATTCTCCGCAACGTGGGTGCGGTTCGGAAGACCTTTATATTGTTTCAAGCATAATTTTTCCTGTAAGGATAGCTGAGACTTCCATTTTACAGTTCGTATTTTTATCTCAAAGATTGAGATAGAATTTATGAGGACTTGACACCATACTAGTTACTAGGCATGTGCGGTAGTCTAAAAGCATACAGAACCTTTCGGTTTTCGGATTGTGGGTACCAGATAGGTTAGGTGTAGATAGATGAACGATCTTCCCATCCATTTCCACATTCACACCCACAAGACGTCCAATTTAGAGAGGTACTCACTGAAAAAGGTTCTACTACAAAGTCAACCACTTCTATCTTATGAACAGTACAGAGTATCATCGAGATACTCGATTCTTCTGAGATTCATTAGTGGTAAACCTGTAAAAAAGAATTTTCTACGAATTTGGAACAGACTTCCTAACGTGAGGCCCAACATTGAAGAAAAAATATTTCAAATGAAACCAAGTTTTTGATCCTACCACATTCCAAGTAATCTCAGTCAGGTGGGAGTTCCATCTTCTCTTTCTACCTATAGTCTTGTTGGCGATTACTTCTTGAGAAAAGTCTGATACCCATTGCTAGATAATTTCAGCACCAACACATGCTCAGATATTCCCCATTCATCATTTGTGTTGATTTTAATTTTAATAAACCAATCTTATCGAAGAAAACTCTACAGAATTATTCACGCGGTCTATTACATTTTATGCTGATTCTTTATGACAAAGTTTTGGTGAAATAATTGAACATCTTTCTAAGAGTGTTTAATAATAAGCAATTTCTAAAAGACTGACTTACCTTTACTAGTCTTGGTTTCTCGTCGGCTATCCTCAGGTATTCGATTATAGTACGTATCTTCTTCGTCATTGGCCGATTTTGCTGCAGTATTCTTCTTCTTTGAAGCAGAAAGAGAACTGTCGTCAGTATATGATGTGTCGTTCGGAGATTTATGTTTCGAACTGGCTAAGGATGAAAGTGAGTCATCATTTTCTTCGTTGCGAGGTGAAGATGGTTTTGTTTCAGCATCCTACAATAACATACGCCAAAATCATTAGATGTCACGCGTATAAACAAAATGAGATTTTTTCACAGATGGAACGAAGGGCATAAGAATTAACGCTACCATAATGCGTACTTACAGTGTTGCTTTCTGTATGCTTTGCATCTAACGCATTCGCATCGTATTTTGACATTTCAATAAATATTGTTTTGAAAATATATCTCTGGGTTTTGTATGCGTCTGCGTGAATAACGTTTGGTGACGTGCCGTTGAACAAGTTGGAAAAGTTTTACGTATTGAATTGAAACTTGTTTCTTGGTGACTTTGAAAAAGAAAAGAAAAATATCAGATGTGTTTTAAAGGACTCTACCTGTTTGTGGGAAAGAGGGAGAATGGAAGAGAAAAAAAAAATGTTTGTGAGGTGTAACAGCTGCCTGTCTCGAATATGAGGCGAATGCAGAATCTATGACACCGAGTCAATAAAAGAATAAGAAAAAAAAAGATGAAAGAGAGAGAAGAATTGCAACAGAAAAAGAGAACAGCGCATACAACGACGAACACGACTATTTTGAGGATCAAAGTGGATGGATGTCGAGTGGGTATATCTTCTCATTTGCGAATATACGCTCGAAATTCAAAAATTGCCAAATTGAATTTCGTTTATTTTTTTAATTTAAATTATCAAAAAATAGAAAACAATCTTCAGTCTCAAATATTCGTTGTTTAAATTCTTAAAAATTCACTTATACCAATTAAAGAAAAACTTATTTTATGATGTAAATTATTGTTAGAAAATTAATCGAAATTTTCAAATTTCCGTTTTTGAAATTTAAAAAAAATTTATTCATAACAATTTTAACAAAACTTATACCTTCAGTTTTACTTTTAACTAGCTGCAACTTATAGAGTTCGCTAAATATTGAATTTCACTACTTTTATTTAATGAACTGTAATTTGTAGAGCGCGCTAAATTACTGCTCTTTTCTTTTTCTTCTTAATTAACTGCAATTCATAGAGTTCGCCAGACAAAGTTATTATTATGAATGCCATGAGTTATTTGTTTTTGGATTTGAACACACAATTTAGTTATCATTATATAACATGGAATTAAACATCGAATGGAGGCAAAACAATTGACGGGCAAAGCATTTATATACAAAAATAAAAATATAGAAAATGACGTTCAAAAAAACACACGTTTGAAATATGGATGTCGGCGAGCCGCTTGTCTTTACGAACGTCTCCATCTGCTCACCTTACAATCACAATAAAAATTGAATTACTACTCTAAATTATGATGCAACTTCTTTGAAAACTCGCTTTAACTTTGTCTAATACCTTTCTTTGTTAAGCCCCGATTTACCACCCTTGCTCGTGCATTATGAGTATTAGATTATCAATAACAAAAAAAAAACAATCAACTGTTGTCTGTTTAAAAAAAAGTGGTTTCGGCCTTGTTTGAAATAACTCAAGAAAGAAAAGAGCTAGAGAGCTCCGGATTTCACCAGTCGAAAGAGACGCACTAGGGCATCTATTTCTCCAATATTGTATAAGATGAAGTCATTTTAAAATCAAACAGTTTTACAAAACATCAATAAAAGGCACAAAAATGACTTGTCTTTCATATGAAATTTTGATAAAAAGTAAGAAAATTTTCTTAAAAATTAAGAGAAATTCATACTTTTCAAGGGAGTAAATAAAGAATTTGATTTGTTTAATAGTACAATGCGTGAAGATGATCATTCAAATTATATCTTAAACTATAGATTTGAGGCCCCTCTATCCAAATCATATATCAAAATCTAAATTTCATCGGAATGACAGATCATTTTCATATATTTCTTGCAAAGTTTTGCAGAAATGATTGATTTTAAAATGACTTCGTCTTATACAATATTGGAGAAATAGATGCCCTAGTATCGTCTCTTTTGACTGGTGAAAATCGCAGCTCTCTAGCTCTTTTCTTTCTTGAGTTATTTTAAAAATGGCCGAGACCACTCTTTTTTTTAACAGACAATAGTCAATATCTATCCTACATATTTAGTTCACTTTCACAAAACCCATTTCATATCTCAATGATAATAATAATTTATTTTTAAACTTAGATTACTTTCAAGACATATTAATATATGCATATAATTTTATCTCATTGAATACTTGATAATTATTATTTATAGAAAACCATCATATCATTCTTTATACCCTATATATCTTTCTCCATATCACGTTAAATCTACCTCAATTAAAAACTTTTTTGATTAAAACCTAACGTTCTCTTTATATTTCACAACATCCTTTAAGATAATCGATATGTATTGAACAAAAAAAATCATGCTATCAACAAATTGCAGTCATTTTTCTTATAACGAAAATCTTTATTGAACAGCAAACTTATGTCCTCTACAAATTACAGCAGCTCTACTGCTCAAAAACGTTTTCTAATCAAAAAGTTACGCCCCCTGCAATATAAAGTAACTTTTGTTAAAATAAAATAACTTTTCACTCAAACTTTTTAAAACGATTTATTGATTGTCTAAACTTTGGCCAAAACAAAAATATCGAAAAATTTAGAGGTTGAAAGCTAGAATTGTGGAAAGATGTCCGTTGAGAAGTGTTCATGGAAAAGTCATTGGCACATAGGTGTGGGGATATGGAGATAGATATTCTCTTCGATAACACCCACACCCATCCACACCAACACCGACACGCTCCCACCTACATCCAAAACGTTTTAGTTTCTAAACTGTATTTAATGTATTTTGTAGTGAGGACTACCTATCGTCAACCACATCGATCCTCACTCTCAAGATAATGTATATAGAACTTTATTCCAATATGTTTAATAAGTGCAAAAGATAATTCAGAAAACCTTTAAATTATACGATTGTTTGGTTCGATTTCACTTGAACTTGTTCGTATGAAGCTCAAGGTCACAAGTCAATACCCTATTTTTCATTCAGCAGCGAAAAGTGAGTCGATCAAGTGATGTTAAAAATTATATTTGGAACATTACAGCTTATGAGTAGTTATTGAACACATATCCTGTGTGATGCCACTTCGAATTGTTTTGAGTGATGATGGAGGGAACGATAGTTATAGTATTGTAATTACTCACCACTTTTGCTCATCTACTCTTACACTTCTGTCGAACTCAAATGCAAAAGTCGCTTCATTATATACTTTCTATTTACCAAGTTTGTTTGAAGCATATAACATAACAGAGTAAGCTTTTTTAAGGCAACGTCACTATACTATTATGTACTACGTAGTAGCAAGTTTTATTCAGAACAAAAAACTTCAACAGTATTGGTTTTTGTCCCGATGAAGATCAGTATAACATCTGTCACATCCACATATGAGAAGCAAAACTAAAATTGTTTGTGTAAAAAATTAATTTTGATAAAAACGCGAATGGATCAATTTAGAAAGCATACTTTATGAAAGAAACGTGCGAACCGATTCTACTTTTTTTTAAATTGAGTTTAGTGTCAGAGGTTGGAAAGTATTCCGGAATATGTTTAAAAATGTACATACGCACTTTGCCCAGGACGTACTGACCAATAATCAAGATAGAGTATTGTGAGCAATCTCTGTAAAGTGGAGGTAGAGCATGAAAAAAAGCCTATACGATAGAGTGGAGTAAAACAGTAATATTTAATATGTTCGAAAGTGTGAATCGGTTATAACTTTAATGAGACCTGACTCGAAATTAAGTTGAGATTTTATTGAGAATCTAGTACAGCGAAGGCAACAAGACTAGCTTATTGGTGTGAGAAAAGCTCTATTTTCATCTAATTCTTCTCAATTATAATTTTTTTGACAGATACAGACAACTCTCTACAAAGTCAAATAAATAGAGATCTTTTTTTAGTCTTAATGATTAGAAATAAAAATTTTATGAAAACAAAAAGTTTTTAAAAGCAATACTAGCTTTGAACCAATATCTATGCATTGATTAGACTATTTTTTTTATTTGACTTGCACATTATTGCCTGTTTATATTCAATCGGCCTTAGCCCATCAGAATTTAGTGACATTAGATTTGGTTTCAATCAAATCAATCATCCTGAAATGTTGTCGAACTGAGATGAAAGTTGTTCGTCATCAATTAGACAAATAGAAACTTCTTTTCTCCAACAACAAACTTTGACACGAATTCAACCATCGAAGTAAAACATTCTTTAGACTAGTTTTTCATACTGTATTAGGGCTAAAATATATCCGATGCACCTTTTTTTTTGTGTCTGATTCTATTTCTGAACACGACAGGACACTGATTCTCATTTCCAAATTTGAAGCCCAGATTTGAGAGATTCTCTCCTAAATTCTGACAATCGAATAGAGGGGAGCGTTTATGTCATCGCGCTTTTTTCTAATTATGAAAATGGATTCACTGTTTTCTTTCAATAAAAGACTTGTTAAAAAACAATTGTGTCGCGACCTAATTGTATTTGTATGACTTAGTATCTAAGTAACCATATGATTTTCATACTTCAATTCGCCGTTGCTGTTTTTCTTATCTAATTTCATAGGTATAGCAAAAGAAATATATGCGGATGTATATGTGGATATTTCATTCATGATAACCTGTAAGAAAGAGAAATATTCATTTATTTTTTATACTTTTATTATGAAATATATGATAAATCATTAAAAATATTTAGTCAGAATGATTCGCAAATTTTATCAACGCTTCGTCGAGAAGACCGGTCAGGCTTTTTTTGGCGAACAGTTGTTTTTCAGGGACCTCGCAAGGACGGAACTCGGGCGCATGGGGTCGGAGTACGGATCCGTTGAAATTTTTCTTTTGAGCCTAAAGAAAAAGAAAAAAAGAGTAGATCATTTTTGTATTTGAGTTCAACTGCTATACTCACTTGTCGACTAAGTGCAAATATGCAATGTGTTACTTGAGCAATGTTACGCTTTTCGTAAAGATCCACTGTTTGAAATAAGTCAAGGTCAAGTAAACCATATGCACGAGCCGCATTTTCTATTTCATATAGATAAATCCGGCAATTGTTATAAGAAAAGATCTTATACTTACGGAAGAGCGATATATTCTCGCGTAATTTGAATCCTGTACTGGCTGTAGTGAATTTCGGAATGGCATTCGGTTGAAGTTTGTTCATCAATCTTTTATTAGTGTTGAAAAATATAATCAAACCCAATTAACTAATCAATAGAAAGCTAACATACTTGCACAAGATGATACCATCTCTGAGAGCATCTTCATAAGAACGATTTGGAAATTTCTCACCGATTACCGATTCGATCCACTCTTGTGCTTCCTTGTCAAGTTCTGGGTCACGTTTTGTCGCTATCTAAATGGCTTGCATGTATTTTAGTGTGTCAGAATGATGACAGTTATAAAAGAGAAAGAAAAAAAAGAAAATATCAAGACATAGCCGATTCTCTTGCTATCACAGTGTCGGAAAACAAGAACGATGGATACAGTAATAACAACTCTTTCAGAATACGGATGATTCTATACTGTAGCAGTATATGAGAACAAAATATACTCGCTATCAATTGGTTGCTTCCTTCGCTCTACCAAGATGGACCACTTTCTAATTGAGGAATAGTTTGTACGTGTGTATGCATATAACGAAGATAATAAAGAAAGAAAAAGAAAAGAAACGTTCGTGGATTGTTGTAATCAATGGAAGAATACAAGAAATAGGGAACAACTTCAATCTTTCTTTAGGAAAAAATCTATCTGAAAACAAATGGTTAGAGATAAAAGAATTTTTGAAACAGATTATTTAACAATAGTCATTCACCAATCATTTTCTCATAAAAAATTATACGCAGAATGACAAAGGAAAAAAAACTATGGTGATCGTTCTGTTGCTCAAGAGTGTTTCTAACTACGTGTTAATGATGATGCGTCCGTCTTACCTTCATTAGATTACTAGCCAGTGTTCCATATGCAGGTCCGTAATTAGCCATCTTCTTTACTTCAGCACAGAAAATACCGCAACAGAAATACCAATGAAGTTATATCGATGAGTATTCTCAACTTTGGTCTATATACTGCCAGCACATACGCACTCGTACGAAAATAAAACCACGACAGAGCTATTATTGGTATACACTGATTAATTTCCTTATCTGGCATGCAGTGGAAGTTAGAGAACAACAAGGAAGGAAAGAAATAATCACCAGCTCGTTTTTCCATACAAACGTTATGTAAAACAAGTACGCTTGTATTTGCAAAGCTGACATATCATTTTCTCTCTCGCGTGTATACATTAGCGATATCAACAAATGCATTATTATGCGAGACAAACATTATACTCTTGCCAAAGGTTACTAAGCAAATTGCTTTGTTAAAGAATAGGAATCTAGATAGATAATGGTATTAAAGACTGCAGATTTGATGCAAATTTCTATTTGGCTTATCCACGTCATTCTCAATTTTTTGTTCGCTAGACTGAAGAGTCTATGGTCTTCAGAATCATTATTATTTCATTTGTCTGTCTGTTCGATTTTTCAGACTCTTAATTTTTTTATTTTTTTTTATTTCCGACATCTGTGATTTAATTTAAAATTCAATTTATGGATCACTTCTGGATTACAGCTTGTTTTCATAATTTTTGGAGCTCTGCTGTTTCTTACATTGCAATTATTTTAGATCATTTCTTTAGAATTTCTAAACTTCGAATGGACGCAAAATCAACAAATCAGAAAGATTCATAATTATTCACCTTAGGGCTAAATGAATGGATGTTCGATGATGTATTTTAAAGGTGTGGATGTGGATGTTGGGTATTGGTGTGAGTGTGCTTGTTGGTGAGGCTGAATATTGGTCTTCTCTTCATCTACATCCTTAAGTACATTTTATATTACAATCGATAATGCTTTCAGATTAATAACCAACACACATACACCTCTGTTCTTGCCTGATGCAACCTCATATGAAATCGAATCCATGAGTTTCAATCGGTATAACTTTAAAAGAAAACCAATTCTAAAATCTGACATCCGTAAAGATAAGATGGAATGAAAGAAAGACTCTACTTTGTTTTTCTCTTTTGGCATGCTTGTAACTTTGTTTCTTTCTTTTCTTGTTTCTATTGTGTCAATAAAGAACTGGTGACTTACGATTACTCTATGCAGAAAGAAATCATTCTTAAACAAGTAAAGAAGTCAAATAAAAAAAAGTAAGAAATATTTTCAGCGAGCTGTTGTAACTGCTTTTTTGGTTCGAGAATAATTGAAAAAATACTATAAAATACTGTTTTAATAGTGGTAGAACGGAAAAAATTCAAAATTTATGAAACGAACGATTTTAAACAATTCAAAAGGCAGCTTGCAACATTTTTTTTGTTAAATTATTGCAGTGGTTACGTACTGCACTTAAAGAAATAAAATTTTACGTCGTCATTTTTTTCTTGCTCTCTTAATCTCTCACGTGTTGTTGCGCTCTTCCTTTTCTTATTTCAGAAAGATTGTAAAGAACAGACGAAGTAGCAATCATTCGAAAGGAATCAGCAGTAATAAAACATTCGTTGTATTATTTTTATAAACCAAAGGACTGCGTGGCAACCATGACTATGGCTCAACGCTTTTTTGATGCTGATCAAGAACCTTTACGAAGAGCAATGCCGATCGAAAGCTATGAGAATGAACCGTTGGTAACACTTCAAGAAGCAACTGAAAAGCTTCGACGATCGATAAATAGCATTAATGATATGGTTTGGACCGCAAAAAACCGTATATCTTATCCGACAAACGGTTTGACTATCGATGAGGCTGCAGCCATTTATATCTATACTATCGAGCACCAGAGAGTTCATCAAACTGTTTCTTTTCAATTGAATATAATACTTCGTTCTAGTGAACGAAACCAACTGAGTCCTTGGCATTCCTATCTCAGGCTTTTTCTTGGTGCTTTGAAGAAATTGCCGTCAATGAACGGTACAATTTGGCGCTGTGTTCGAGGCGACATTACCGATAATTACCAAAATGATTGTGTCTGGTCTGGATTCAGCTCGTGCACAGGAACTCAGTCAGTACTTGAAGGATTTCTAGATGGATTTCTAGATGGAACCAGTGTGTATACTATATTCAAAATTGAGTGTATCAATGGCAAACAGATCCGAAATTACTCTAGTCGACCCGATGAAGATGAGGTTCTATTGATGCCTGGTACATACTTACGAATGACAAGGAAACAAATACTAACAAATGGATTACGTATAGTTCACCTAGAAGAAAGAAATCCCCAATATGTACATCCAGTTCAACCTTTGGAACTTTTGGCATCGCCGCGTGAAACCAACCGAACAGGGCGAGGCTTCAAGTCGCCTACGATTCAATCAAATGATCAAGCAAAATGTACGCAAGCATATAGTGAGATTATTTTTGAATTAGATTGTCTTTTCTATTGATAAAAGGGTAGTAACTCAAAATAAAATACAATTCGAAAGTTCTACGAATGAAGACAAGTAACAATGCAAAATATACAATTTCAGAAGTCAAATAACAAATCATCTTTCTCCATTTTACACCATCTAAACTGATTAGGAAAAAATATTGGCGAACGAACGCTAAATTTTTTAGATTCGAGCTGCTATTCATGGTAGTGTCGAACTCGTTAATTCGATGCGAATTTTCGAGTTTCTGAATTTAAAGCTTTTCTAACACTCACTGGTAAGCATGACAGTACTATAGCATTCTGGTACAGTCAGCAGCCTGTGAAAAGCCGTAAATTCAAAAATTAGGATCGACTCGATGGCTTCGACGCTACTGAATGAAGAAGCTTGCTGCTTTTTTTTTATGGAACTCACATTGTGTTTTTCCTAGCAACGATGAGGAAAGAGAGAGCAATCGTTATTAGGTACGTGTCCATAGCAACTGAGGACAACAAGATTCCGACTCATTTCACAGTGTTCCCTAGCAATAGAAAAAGATGCTGAACGGCATTACCGACAAGAGTTAGACTGTTCAGAAAAGTTATAGAACACTGCAAAATCTTTTTTAAAATCAAAATGGCTGGAATACGTTTGTGAATGTTCTAAATAGTGCAGTTTCTGACTGTTGCGTAGATAGACATTTATATTCACGATGTCAAAGACGACAGAATAGCGTCAGTAAAAGAATCTCGTTTGACCTGCAGAAATAATAAGATAGATCGTTTCGCTAGCGACCAATCATTCGTGGAAAACAACCATCGTGTGCTAGAGTTTTTCCACTAAACGTATTTAATACTAGTATAACGAGGCGCAAAAACTCATGTGAGTTCCGTATTTTAGTCGCAAACGGGTTGCACGAACAAGCTTTTATTATTGAAAATATGTTTTTTCGATGGAAAAGTTGCCTGTTGTCACCAAAGAACAATAGATTTATTGCTTCTCGTAGCATCTCAAATGCCCGACAAACATTCTTGCTCTAGAATGTACAATCTTGCTTTCCCTATCGAGTTTCGAGAAGTGATGAGACAATGAATAGTACACTGACCTTGATTTTTGGCCAGATGAATACAATAAAACAAGAGGTATATTTTTTCAACGTTTTATTTGACATATGGTCAGCATACAAATTTTTCTGCACAGAAATAGGTTAAAATAGCGCTTTCCGTAGAGATCATGTTTGAAGAACAATGAGTGTTTATTCAAAGCATCGAATGGTGATAATGAGTCGAAATCAAGCGTAGATTAGAGAAATTTTCGTTGATTATTGAAGAGAAAAAAAATTAGTTATTCATTTGCTATTATTCACTGCTTTCAGTTTATTGTTCTATTGCGGAAAACATATTTAATCCTTATGTTGAATATTTCGTTTCGATGTTGGTTTAGACACACATAATTCAACCACAATTCAGTCGCCATATCAATACCGGACAGGTTAGTTAGGAAGATTGTCTATTGACAGAAATATTCTCTATTATGCTGGCATCAAAAACAAGTTTTCTATTTAAGAGAATCAATCTGGTAAGAAAGATAACGGATGTTCTCGTTTAGAAAAACCTTGGCTCGATTGTCAATATCATCGGAGTAGTGGAAAATCGATAATGACTCCTAAGGATCTTGAGGCCATGTTACAAGATCCTCCTTCTGACGTTGACAGTGTCATATTAAATCGCGTCAAAGGATCGATGATTGGTATGGCATTAGGTGATGCACTCGGAGCTCATGTTGAATTTCGACCGCGACAATACATGATGGAACATCCAGTGCGAGATCTAGAAGGGGGAGGAACCTGGGGTCTCGCAAAAGGACAAGTAAAGTATCACCTCTTGATATAAGATTCTTGATTACTTGCCGAGTAACTCTCACTTGATTCTTAAAACAAATTTCAAAACCTTTGTAAAAATTTGTTCAATTTGATAGTATCAGAAAAGGTGTCGTTCATGTTAGGAATAGAACTTAACGTTTTCAACTTTTCTAAACAGTTAGATATCTACGTCAGATTCTCTATAAAAAACTAAGTTATTGATATCATGGAGTCCTAAAAAAAAGACAACAATCTTGTTGTTATAAAATCGACTTTCATCTAGTAATAAATCCTAATTTCCATCGTCGAAAAGTATGCATAGCTAATGTCTGAAAATCTCGTTTCATTTTGATAACGATTTTCGTTCAGGTTTCATGAGAAGACTTCAGAAGTGTTTAGCACTTGAGCACAACTAAAAACGCAGACAAAAAATGATCGATTTCATCTGTGTACTTTTCCTTCAAAGAAAAATGTGTTTCAAACGTATATAAAACATTAATAATTCTGTTATTTTCCAGAGATATATTCTCTTTAGTTCACAGACGACACCTCTATGGCACTTTGTCTGGCAAATTCGTTGGTGTCTCGTCACGACTTTGTTCCTTACGATCAGCTAGTTCGATACAAGTGGTGGTATAGAAATGGTTACATGTCCTCGACTGGACGATGCTTCGATATTGGTACAGCCACCAGTCAATCGTTGCATGAATTCGAACGTCGTCAACAGCTGT